CCCTTTCCAGCTCTTTTTTGACCCTTTCTATTTTTTTTTTGTTCATCGTTTTTTGCGCTTTTCGTTGTTATCGCTTTATTCTAGAGTAGTTCTATCAATTCCGTCAAAAAAGGGTACCCTAAATTTATCGTAAACGGTGCCTTTAAAGAAGTGACTACATCAACCTGGAGGATATTCGTACGAGATGTCTTTTGTTGCAGTTGCGCAAAGAACTGACAACATTGAGCTAAAACTGCCCTTCACTGTCGCCATGATAAGTTGTTTGAAGTTCCAACATAGAAGTTCCTTGAGATGGTGCAGCCTCTACAGCGCCGCTGAAACTCGTCCGCTATGGTGTGCCTGTCACATGATACAATTTCTGAGCCCTGATAATGCCCCATTGAGGCCGTAACAGATCTGGGTGCGCCTCATATGGTATACTGGGATCCCACAGATTCATCAGAGGGAGATTTCTCGGAAACCATTTTCATCGTGAAGTGTGCTTTTGATGAAAAATGCTAGTTTATGCATAGTTGTGGAGCTGATTCTCAGAAGAGCAAAGTGTAAAATGAATATGGAGCATCTCATGAGCGATAGCTGGAATATCAGAGGCTCTTTTTGAATGCTCGAAATTCTATTTATTTCGCCCTTTTTCAGTCCCACACTATGATCCACCGGCAAAGCTACCACCGAAGACCTGCTCAGCCCTTCAATGCGACTTCGAGAGCGGTTCTTGCTTACGGAGTCTCGATTCTAGTGACTTGAAGATCAGTGAAGATCCAGTGGGATCACGTTCCAGTGGGATCCGATCTACTTTAGGTAGGTGGTAACAAGGGTGCACTCGTGGCTTCTTTTGTAAGGATACATAAAAGCAACGAATCCATGCGACATCTCTGAGAGTCTGGTGAGGAGAAAACGGTTTTAAAGTCTCAAATGGATTCTTCACGCTTATTCATTCATTCATCAGGCTTGAGGCAATTGAAGAGTGAATTGAGATTGCAATGTTTTAATTAAGTGGCATCTTTCATAGTCCACGATTTTGCGAGCGACCGGTCGCGGACCCATCTCGCGAGCGACTGGCGACGACGCCGGTCTAGTCGCGTCACGACTAGTCGCGCGATTGGTCGTTGACCATGAAAGCAGCCAGTTGAGAATCGTTCAGCCTGACCAAAAGAGTCAATCTTTTCTCTTCCAATCAGTTCTAATGTTAAAGGTCACGCTTGAGTCATGACCCAGTTTAAATGCACTCAGGGAAGGAAATAGAGTTGCTCGGAAAAAAACATGCTTGCTTGGAAATTGAGTTAAAAACGCGCATAGAAAAGGAAGAAATTTTTCAAAAACTAGACTGAAGGTGTCTGTATTCGGATATTCTAATATTGAAGCGGGAAAGCGTACACAGAAAATGCTGATCAAAGGATTGCGCTCGAATGCGCCCTAGTGTGCATACTGCACTACTCAGATAGCATTCCTTGAGAAGCGCGGTCGCGTTGCGGCACAATCAATCGATTGACTGTCACTGACTGCACCCCTCAGTAGGCCATAAGTGACGCGAATGTTGAAAGAAAACCTGAAATAATTATAGTGCTCAGTAATTGAATAACACCCATCACCACTGATCTTTTTCAACACAGATGGTCCATTTGCATACGCCGTTGGTCCTGGTACAGCATCAGTGTCACTGGGACCATTCGAGTTTCCACGAAACTTCGGTATTGAGTTCTGTTACTATGTGGCAAGCTACCATAGTCAACTGGTCGTCTATCTCAACAGGACTCCGGATGGAGAACGAGAACGGTAAGCAGATCCGTTCATCATCTTACAATATAATTATTGTAGCAAGACGCCGGGAGTCACCCACGACGAGGTTCATTTCTGTGTAGTTCTACGTTTTCGTGGAATTCGTGACAATTCTCGAAATCCAACGAAAAGGGTACAGCTGAGATTGGGTGACCACTGTGCGTAACCTTACCTGAAATAAAAATGAATAAAAGATTGTTGAACTTCCGTAGACACGATTTACCCGAATGGACAACCGTTTACTTTTCTAGCCTTTTTATAAGCAACGACGTCTCCAGCAACATTCATCAATGGCTATGCGATAAAATCTTCCTGAACAATGGAACATATGATGCGGTACAAATTTTATTAGTTAAATCATTTATTTATAGTAAGATGATCGATAGAAAACGATTTTATCTCTTATCATTGCTAGTACCTAAAATCCTTATGCCATCCTCTTGGCCCATAGTTACGTATGACTGTGATTGGTGGTTAGCAGCGACATCCAATCACAGCTCCCACAGCCGGCAGGGCACTTTACTCACTGTCTCTCTACTACTCTTCTCCTAGCTAACCCTAACTGAAGCCAGATTAGGCGGGAACAAACCAGCAGAAAGGGCATGGAGGGTTAGCTTTGAGGAATTTAATCATGGAATAAAGTGAGCCATGGCTGTAAGTGATTGTGGTGGATGTCGTATTACTTTTATATGAACACTTTTCACAATTATCTTGATTTACTTTAGATCGAATTCTCAGCAGAAGGACTGAGAAACGAATTCTCGTACCTGGGACTGGATCAGATCGACGTCTATGATCCAATTCTGTGTGCTTCGGCATGCAAGAAATCAAAAACTGAAAAGCCTCCTTAGCCTTTTCCACCAAAGCCTCGATCTCTTTCACCTTTACGACAGGGAACTACTCGATATAGGGAGTGTGTACAGAACTGTTTCACCTGTTAGGAACGTACTTTCTTGTAGCTTTGAAAGTGCCTCAAACTTCAGAATCTATTCCCCTGCTTGAATTTGAATTGTGAATTCCCTGCTGTTGCAATAATATGTACGCACACCTAAAACGAATTTTATTTATGAAGGTTAGCGTTACTAAAGTACAAACTGCAAGATACCACTTTTCATTTACCAAAAATTTCCACTACTTTTGTGATAGCACCAAAGACTAAAATTTTCTCCTGATGTCACCACAAGTATATGGGAGCACAGCTTGCGATAACTTTGAGTGCCGTGATAACTTTGACTACCATTTTTAAAGGCACGGTTCGCGATAATTCAATGGGCGGGCACGTCAATGACGTGTCCGCCTCTCATTCGACGTCAGGTCTGACTGTCTGACGTGAGATCGAATGAGAGGCGGACCCGTCATCGACACACCCGCCCATTGAATCATCGCGAACCGTGCCTTTAAGTCAGACAGCGAGAACGAAAGTGTTGATAGAGATTAGTAGGCAGGTGGCGAAGAAAGTGAGAAAGTCCGCAGTATCAGGCAAAGTCAGGCCATTTTTGAAGTAATTAGAATTCACGGTAGTACGAGATTGTATCGACTAGAAGGGTTCTGGACGAGATTTCAGTCACCGCGCATTAGTGCGCATAATTGCATATGAATCTGGCTACCGTGATCCTTATTCTGAAATTTGCTTTTCGCATGGTCACTGTATGAATTTGTAGATGGTAGGTAGTGATAAATGATGATAAAGAAATTAGCTGTAAAATATCATTAGATGCTTTGATGATTTCATTATTTTTCAAGTCCCTCTTGCCTCTACAAAGCTGTACTGATTGTACATGCTCTCATGCTCATCAAGCTGACCTCCTTTCCAAAACACTATTGTACCCAGTTCACGACCAGTTTGTTCTGATTCTGATGATCCTTAATAATTTCATGATGGCATTCCCTGGCATCCACCTTATGCGTCGTTGATGTGTCCAATTATTTATTAGAACCACTTATTTATTTATATAATTTTATGTCTGAAGATTTCTTTGCGTGCACTCATACTCACTACTGGCAATTATACTCAATCTTGCCAGTATTTGCGTTAAAAGTGCTACCACCCTTTGCACACAGCCACAAGACTGTAGGTTACAGTTACTCTCATGGGAGAACGTCCGTTGCGCACGTCCGTCGAAAGTAGGTCACCCCGCCCACTTCGCGTGCGGCGCACCACGCCGAGGTCTCGAAATGACATCATAGTACCATCAAGTATCGGTGGAGCGAATGACTTGCATCTGTCTGTGTTATCTACTCTTTGAACTGACTGCCGAGGACCAAGCGCAAAGCGTAGAGCAAAGCAAAGCCCCTTTGACAAGTGCGACGTTTGTCAAGTATCGCGGGCTGACAAGCCGCGTGCGACGGCTGCGGCGTGACCTAGTTTGGACGGACGCGCGCAACAAAGCGCGCCCACTCTCATGTGTACTGTTGCGTGTTTTTTGTGATGTGCTGTTGTATACATATACAATGTTCAGTTGACCTGAGCAATAGCTTATGCTCGGAACGTTGACAATAAAGTTTTATCAGAAAAGAGGAGCTTCTTACTAGAGTTAGAACTGTACAGTTCTCAGAAAGTACAATTTGAAAAAGAATTTTGTTCGTGCATGACAGTAGTACTGAAGGGCGGTGGCGAAGGAGAAACCGTAAAGACAAGCTAAATAATGAAGGTGAGTAGAGCTAAGTGCTGGTCTGGAGTCATCTAACCTCATATGGGCAGGTGCCAGGTACATCTTTCAGATCGGGTTCCCGACGAGCTGCCGCTTTCGTATCATCGCTACTGCTGGACTCCTTGGGTCCGTCCTCGACGTCACCTACAATCAGCTCGAATCGTCGGAATCATGATAAGCTTAGTGTATGGGATTCGCTTAGCGATCCCATAACTAATTCAAACTCACTTATCACTCTTTTTCATAAAAAATTCCCCTCCAGCTTCTGAAAAAAGTTTTTGAGAATAGAAAGTAAGAGCGCTAAAAAGAAAAAACCGGTGGTTGTTCCATGATGTTCCTTTGCAAAAACGTTCCTTCTGTTGATCGGACAGACCAACAGACTAGAATTACAATTCTGAAGGATATAGCATCTGCTTTTCTGAGGACCGGCTCAGGACCCTCATTCCAGTCGTGTACCAGTTGCGATGCCGTTTTTGGTGCAGCCGAATAATTTTTGGTCCAGGTCCAGCGTCGTTTCAGAGGACTGGCGACCTTGATCAGCTGTCGCGGCTGAGATTCGAACTTGGGTAATTAGGTTTCTATTTTCCCAATGCAAGGGAACCTGGAATACAGGCAGGTCCGGCGTCGTTTCATCGGAAGACCGTGTGCCTGCCCGTTGCACAGCTGTCGACGCTAGGGCTCAAGCTTGGGTGGATGAATTTTTTTACAGAAAAAGCAGTACAGAATACAGCCAGAATATGCCAGAAATAAAGAAGGGATGGCTAAAGCTTGAGTGCTGCGGACCGTAATTTATACAATTTCGTGAAAGGGGTCGAAGATGAAATTTTCAGATTAAACAGAAAAAATGCTCTGATCCGGAAACGTAGTGACCTTTCGGCTACAGATCAACCAAATGATAAGTTTTACAGTAGTTACAGGTGAGCCATCCCTCAGACAACAGAAACCGATAGATTCCAGATTCCCTATTGTAGGTGCTACATACGCTTTGGCTTTGTGATACCCTTCCCCTGGAATCCGTAAGTGATTTGAGGACCTCAGGAACCAGCAAAAATGAGAATACCGGAACGGGCCAAACTGGGCCAGAACTTTCTGAAGGTTGGTTTCTCTTCTAAGAATACCATTGTTTGTGATAAAATATTTTTTTTCTGTAAAGGTGTCCCGAGACGTTCGGGCTGGCTACGTTTCTGACACTACTAGGAACATTTTCGAGAGGACAATCAAAATGTAGGCAAATCCAGAAAATCTCGCAAAGCTTCCAAAGACGAAGACGTCAACCGTTCAATAACACCTACAACCGAACTCAGAGCTTCTTTTTTCGAAAAGTGGTCGGGGGTCAAATCATTCCCTTAAAATTACAGCGTCACGGTTTGGCAACTGACCCCTAAACCTGGGTTTATCCGTGCATTCTGTACCCCTTCAGCAAAACCCATTCTGCAGCCTGTTAGCAGTTGTTCTCGTCCTGGACCCATACCAAACGTGGAATCTATCATATAGCCATCATTCAGGATTTAGATCCAGAAATCAGTCCTCTTCAGAGCAAGAGCCTTCCCTTTGCCTGAGGCGTTGATACGGTGCTTGGAGCTATTCGGAAACCTGATGAGAAAGTGGAGCACTGTATTCCTACCGTATCCACAAGAAAACAAGCAAGGTTACAGTAAAATGCATCCCTCGACAAAAAGAACGGTGCTTGGAGCTATTCGGAAACCTGATGAGAAAGTGGAGCACTGTATTCCTACCGTAGCCCACTTGTCGTCAATCCATTGAAGGCGATGACCAATCGGTGACCTTTCTTCCACCCCATTCCCCGCATGACTGTTCTCTGGATGAAATCAGATCTGACTGAATTCCCATTCCATTTGGGTCCCCTCGAGAAAGTTGACAAATAAACTATCCTCCGAGAAAAATTTGAAAACCTTGACTTGATTTCTGCCCGGACAGGACAATACGAGTTAGACCTCACCCAGAGG